ATATATATATATATATATATATATAGATATATATTAAACAGGTTGAAAGTCTGTTATTTGAATTTAAACTGTAAGATGATCTTTATACAGGTTCTTGTTTCATTTAATCTCCTTCAATTCTGTTCTAGTTGAGATGTGGTTGCTAGGAGATTCCAAAGCAATGGAAAATAATACAGCAGTGTTCCTGCATTAGAAAACCTTTTAAAAAGAAAACAGGAAATACATTTTTGCTTCTCTTTTTTCCTATTTTTAGGTACCTCCGTGTTGCAAGTCACAGCGACAGATGCTGACGACCCCACCTATGGAAACAGTGCAAGGATAGTCTACAGTATTTTACAAGGACAACCGTATTTCTCTGTGGACCCCAAAACAGGTGCGTTATTCCTGCTTACTGAGGGGGAAAAAGTGTTGAAGCAAGCACTTATTTGCAAAAAAAAACAGTAACCAGAACTCCAAATACCAGAACTGAAACACAAATTATTATAACGCCTTTAACATCTATACAGTTAAATATTTTATAGGGACATACATTGTGTCACTGAGCTGCAAGAGGTGGAATTATAATGTTTCCAAATGATGTAGAAAAGCAGCTGTGAGCAGCCACTGTTACTCTGATGACCCTAAATACAATCCAGAGAACAGAGAAGGAGCTGTGGTACCTTCAGTCATATGTCAACACAGCTTCTGTTAACCATGAAGAAAGTTTGTCATGCTTTATTGCTGTATGAAAATTCAATGCAGTGTGACATAATGGGAAAAAAGTTAAGGGAACAAATATGTTTGCAATTTCAGTTAAATGGATGAAATCTAAATTATTGTTCATCTTTTGAAATGTGTGAAGTCTATGCGGATAAGCCTATTTGCTATGAAAAGTATGCTGTGCTACCTTAAAAGCAAAACAGATAAGGATTTCTGAAAAAAAAAAAGGCTCAAGCAACACAGTACAGTTATTTTTCAGTCTGGGAACTACTTTCTTGTTTAGCACGCAAACCTCACTTGTGGACCATAAGTAAGTTCTCTGGGGATTAGGGAGACAGTTGCAGAGATCTCTTTAGAAAGCTATTGTTTCCTGCTCTGCAGTGCTCAGTCTTTTAAAGTTCATCCTTTATTTGAGAGGCCTCTATCATATCCATTAAATATTAACAATCCTTCGAAGGTACAAGACATAACTTTGATATGATGTGAAAAATGCAATGTTTTCAGCATGTGTGCTGTAGGGCTTTTGATGTCTTGTGTTCCCATACCTTACAAGGTCATTTGCCCTGTAGCTGCTAATGCATCTATAGTTTACGTTGCTTTGCCTACGCTGCTGCCTCTGGTGCTATCTGGTGAAGTGAACAACAGTTCTCTTGAAAAAGTTGATTCATTGCCATCTGGGACAAGCTGTGGCTTCCTTGGAGACACTAACAGCTATGTGAGATAGTAATGTTTGAGCTGAATGAGCAATAAAATGAACAGATGTATATTTTTGCTTTGCCCTAAGGGGAAAAAAAAAAAGAAAAGTTGTAAATTATTGTTACAATTCCACGGGGGGGTGGCAGAAGACTCTAGATTAAAATACATGTTGTGCTTTGTCATAATAGAGCTTCTTACGTGATTCCAATGGATTTGTTATTTTTACTTCCTACTAGGGTTTTCACGATACTAAACTTTTCAACTCGATACCGATATTAAGGAATATATTCGATACTCGATACCATTTTCGATACCACAAGGATAAAAACAAAAACTCCAAAATTCTACAGAAATATTTTCATAAAATACAATAAATAAATACAATAAAAGTTGTATGCTGTGCACAATATTAAGCAAGCTTGATAAAAAACTTATAAAATTAAAATTAAGTATTCCTTCCTTGGCTATGCTTTTGCACACATAACAATGACACTAGCCAAACCGGTTAAGAAATAAAAATAATTCTCAGCAGCTGCAACTGTTACAAAAAAAAAGTCTGAAACTAAAAAGTGCACAGAATTATTAAATCACAGTGTTCTGAAAGTGCATTGTCCTCTATTCTGCACTTTAGATGAATGACTGTTTAGGTGCCACTGGTACTCGATACTTTTGAAAATGAGTATTGTATCCGGATACAACGTTTCAGTATCGATACTTTTTTGAGTATTGATACTTTTGACAACACTACTTCCTACACTTTTACAATTTGTCTTTTAAGTTATAAAGCTTTATTTAATTTATGCTACTATTTAAGGGAGTTTTGATATTGGATGGATGGATGGATGGATGGATGGATGGATGGATGGATGGATGGATGGATGGATGGATGGATGGATGGATGGATGGATGGATGGATGGAACTGTTACATTTTTGGATTAGTAGACAAAAGACATGTTTTTTAAACAGTGATGTAATCCTGTGCTTTTACATCATTCTTTGTAGATAAATAGAATCATTTGTGTCGCTTTTCTCTTTGTTTTTCCATAAACAGTGTCTTTTTTGGACAGATCACATGATTCACTTTGCCTTAGCTGACTCTGCAGCTTGTCTGAATTATAATTGGCCGTGGGGCGGCAGAGGATAGGGACGTGATTGAAGGTCTCACCCAGCTGCACTCTCCACACAGCACTATTCCACCCACACATATTAATTTATACAAGTAGGCTGCTGTTTTTTTTTGTCACTGACAAACCAACCTCACAGAGAGAATTAAGCACAAGAACCCCTGTTGGTCAACAGAGAACGCACACATGCGGCGAGCTGCACTTTCATGCAATCGTTTACATGCTTGACTCAGGTATTAAAGTAGTTCTGCTGGCATGCTACCATGTACCAGCACCCTGCCGGAGAGATGAAGCGGCTTCTGCAGATGTCTTGCAGTGCATTAGCTAGATCGCATATCCTCATATCCCCCTCTACTCTGAGCCCGTTATTACTTAAACTGCAGAGACACCTCCATGGGAAATTCAAAAAATGGGAGATGGGGGTTACATGAGTTCTCAAACATGCAGCCCTTTTCTCCTCTGAGCTTAGGTTGGCATCTTCGCATAGCAGTGACTGAAGTTTATTTAAGGACAGAAGGTAATCATGATTTTGGCAGACGAATATAGTGTAAAAAAAGACATAAGGGATTGTCACAGAACTGAACAAAATCCTCAGCTGGAGTCAGATTGACCAGTTTTACTTATTGCTCCCCCTCCTCTGCCATCTCTAGATTTGATAACACCCCTTTAGATCTGAGCATGACTTAAATAACATGACATGTAATGACCATCTGACCACAATAAACAAATGATTTTTTTTTTAAACCTGAAAGAGGACACAAACAATGATGAAGATGTCTTTGCCAAAGTAATTATGAGCTGTTATTACAGCTCTGGCAATGCTCACTAAATATGGCTTTAATATGTCTAATGCCTTGCAGCTGCTTATTGAAATTCAAGTATTTAAACTAAAAGCCTGTGCACACGCTCCTAAAACATGAGCATTGCTCATTCTCAGTTTAAACATGTAATATAATGTACATCTTTATATAAAAATGGATGGCAGCAGAAAATGTTACCTCCATACAGTAATGGAAGATCTTTCAACTGTGTTGGCTATTAGTTTTCAACAAGGTACGAATATTTTCCTGGTGAAATCTAGACATATAAAGTTAGTTTCTTCTTTCAGTTTCAGTTTAGGGCTCCTATTACTGACACCTGGTAGGCCCCCTGCGCAATTGTAGACTAGGATGTGTTTTTGAAGATACAATGGTGTGAAAAATTCCTCTTAAACCCACCTGATACTGAAGTAACTGACCGAACCGGACCGTATTTATACTGCAGCACATACCAGCTTTCAGTATTATGGTGAGCCGTTTAAACATGACACCAATAGCAAAGTAGACAGTGGTACTTTTAATTACTATTTTAATAACTGTGTATAATTTATTAGATGGTTGGCAAAAAATACACTCATAATAAAGATCTTAAAAGAACAATGTATTCGAGTATTTCATTTTTCATACTACGACTCGGAATTATGGATAACCCATAGATTGAAACCATAACCGTTACGTACAATGTGTTAGTGACAAAGGATACCAAAAAGAGGTACTTAAGCGGATTCCAGAAAAGAAAAAGGAAAGAAGAGCTGGAAGAACGGAAAAAACTTTACAAAATAAACACGTTCTTTCAAAGAACCGAAGAGGGAAAGGTGGAGGTTGCTGCTACAGTGAGTAAAGATTGCGACCATGATGATTGGAGAGAGCATGGGTGAGGAGGGGAGCTGTAAAGCTCAAGGTAGTCCAATGGCTTGTTGTGCTAATATACTAAAGTATATCCATGTCTAGGGAAGGTGAAGAAAGATGAAGTCTGTATGTATTGGGGGTAGTTGGGTTCGATAAGCAGCCCCTGAAATGAGTTTTTGGAACTTGGGATGTCTGTAACATGTGGTGGTGCGCTGTCACCAATGGTACCATTCAAGGTGCGCAGTCGCTATTTTTCTGTGTGGATTGTGTGATCATATACTACTTAGAGTGGCATTATTGTATCTTCTTGGCCGACTTATGGAATGGTCACCGTATCCTGAATCTTTATCACCTGTTGTACTTTATATGGGGCCCACCAAGATAATGTTGCTTAGGGACCTGTTGTTGTGTCGTTACCCCATTGGCTACAATGTAGCTTGCTTTGTAACTGCCTAACTTGAAAGTGCTGGCCATNGTTGGCTATTAGTTTTCAACAAGGTACGAATATTTTCCTGGTGAAATCTAGACATATAAAGTTAGTTTCTTCTTTCAGTTTCAGTTTAGGGCTCCCATTACTGACACCTGGTAGGCCCCCTACGCAATTGTAGACTAGGATGTGTTTTTGAAGATATAATGGTGCGAAAAATTCCTCTTAAACCCACCTGATACTGAAGTAACTGACCGCAATGGACCATATTTATACTGCAGCACATACCAGCTTTCAACATTATGGTGAGCCGTTTAAACATGACACCAATAGCAAAGTAGACAGTGGTACTTTTAATTACTATTTTAATAACTGTGTATAGTTTATTAGATGGTTGGCAAAAAATACACTCATGATAAAGATCTTAAAAAAACGATGTATTCGAGTATTTCATTTTTCATACTACGACTTGGAATTATGGGTAACCCAGAGCATAGATTAAATCCATAACCGTTACATACAATGTGTTAGTGACCATGGATACCAAAAAGAGGTACTTAAGCGGATTCCCGAAAAGAAAAAGGAAAGAAGAACTGCTGGAAGAACGGAAAAAACTTCCCAAAATAAACATGTTCTTTCAAAGAACCGAAGAGGGAGAGGAGGAGGTTGCTACTACAGTGATTAAAGATTGCGACCAGGAGATGAATGGAGATAGTGTGGGTGAGGAGGAGGGCTGTGAAGCTCAAGGTAGCCCCATGG